ATCAATATATAGTGGAAGGCCTTTCTTTGTATTTGATTATATTACCTATATTATATACATATGTATATCTACCTATATTATATATTATATTACCTACTCACCGTATTTGTGCCAAAAGTTTTGCTTGTTCGCTGAATTTGTATCGATGTCTGAATCCTCTTCGTATAGCTCAGTATAGAGTATGAATTCGATTCGTGCTGTGGTTGGTGTTGTTATTGTTGTTGTTGAAGTTGTTGTAGATTGTTGTTGTTGTTGTTGTGGTGTCAAAGGTGATGCGTTGGTCGCTGTTCGGACTGTATCACGATTAAAAATTCGATGCGCAGCGTGCAGAGTGTTGCGTGTTGTTGTTGTTGCTTTTGGCACATGAGGCACAGCCGTTGCCGTTGCAATTGTTGTTGCCGTTTGCGTTGCTTGCAACAATGTAGCACGTTGATTAATTTGATATGGCAGCAACATGGACGCGGGCGAACCGAATGCCGAGGGCCCAATGGCAGTCGAGTGCGACGCGGCGCGACGTTCAAAAGGCGTGGCAAAGGCGAAAACGGGCACCGAGAAATAGGCGCGTGTTGCAACAGTTGACGTTGTTGTCGTTGCTGCTGCTGCTGCTGCTGTTGTTGTTGCTGTTGTTGTTGGTAATTTATTAGGTAAATTTGTGGCTGGCAGCGAATTATGTTTGGGCGACACTTTGCTCTGGCTGCCGTTTATAATTAAATCTAACTTATTATTTGCACTATATACACTGTGCGAAACGCTGTGCGTATCGTATGCACCACTATATACACTTTCACTCACAGCGCTTCCACTTGCGACGTTTCCAATAGGTTTGCGATATGCTTGCATTGACAATCGGCTGCTCTTGCTCTGCTCGCATGTCCGACAGATTTTGTTTAAGTTGGAGTTTCTCTGGTTGCTGTTGTTGTTGTTGTTGTCCTGCTGCGCCCGCAAGTATGCAATACTCGGCCTTTGGGCATAGTCTGGACTATTGGCGCGTCTGTGCATGGGCACCGCGAGGGCTTGCGCCGACCACAATAGGATTGTTGCCAGTAGCGTTAAATTGAGCGCTAACCATGTGCTTGTACAGCGGGCCCCCGCGGCGCCTTTGGCTGAATGCGTGGGGGCCACAGCGTCAACTGTATGCGAATTGATAGTTCACTGCACCCGGCGACGGCGACCGCAGTGCAACATCAATTGAAGCCCCAACAAAGATGACCCAATGCGCGCCAACTGCAAAAGTTGTACAAGAAAACAAAATGCGAAAGATGTTAAAAGAGAAGGGCGAAAGAAGAGCGAGGGCGAAAGGGTTGACATATAAAGGATGAACATATTTGCGAGAGATAGATGTAGTGGAGATTTGTGTTATGGAGATAATTGCTAACTGTGCTTACTCCAGTCTTTAAGGACTAGCAATGGATAATACGCTAATTGTGAATGGCTAACTGGGAATGTTAAAAGTTTCTAGTAAGGAGTTTGACTGGAATGACGCAGCAGTTTATCCACATACTGAAATAGTTATAGAAATATATTCTAGAATGTCAACTTTCTCGGAATGTCAATTAAATAGGTAAACTATACGATAAGTTCTTTGCAATGATATTCGATTCATCTCAGGGCCTTTTTCATAACTAGAGCTTTAAAATACCTGGCGTATACTTGATATATAATATATTATTCAGTTTTAGTTAATATTTGTATAGCTTTAAATATATTTTGATTACACTAATTTTAAAATTAAAACTTATATTTTTCTAAAAATATTGACAATATCGTAGGACACAAAGGGAACGTGTCGTATACGTGATATTTAGTTATATGGCTTTCTGGGTGCTAATTGTTGCAGCATGTCAGATGTTTGTTTAGCTTCTTATATTCAAGTATTTCTATATCTAAAATAAGTTGCGACGTGTAATATTTGTCTAACATTTTTCTCACAGTGCACGCTGCTGTGTGGTCGCCCACTTTTGAGTTGTTGCTGTTGTTATTTTATTTTGTCTTTCGACTGCTTCCTTTGTTTTTGTTTTCGTCTTCGTTGTTGTCGTCTGTCCCTATTACAATGTTTCTGTCGCAACATGATTTCCCAACATCTCCCGCCCAGAACTTTGCCCAAAGCAGGGCACTTAGAGAGAGAGAGAGAGCGATAGAGAGAGAGAGAGAGGGATAGGGGGATGGGGGGAGTCTAAGCAAAGGGTATGTGCCTGTTGATCAGCCACAGACGCAGGCATAAATAACGCAACATATGTATGTGTGCGTGAGTGTGTGTGCGTGTGTGTGTGTGCGTGTGTGTGCGTGTGTGTGTGTGTGTCTATGTCGGCACTCTTTGCCAAGGCACGCAAAACAAGCGCACGGCAAACGGTGCGTATGCGCAATATTTTGCACAAATTTATGTTGCACTTCGCGTAGACTTCACTTTTATTATCATCCACGTTGTCGTGCGTTTTCCTATACTCGTTCGTACAGCTAAAAGAGGGTATATAGGTTTTGTATGTGCTTAAATATTTTAGCTTCGTATTTGGATTTAGACAGTTAACTGGATATACATATATACTCTAAGTTCTAGCTATGATTAACTGAAAGGATTCTGCTTGGCCGGGTATTATGCAGCCGGTCATTGCCGCTTGCCGCAACATTCTTACTTGTTTGCTAAATATATAAGAAACAACAACGGGCACATAGACAACGGCATTGTCCCCCACTGCACTGATGGCTTATGCTTAGGCTGCTTGCTTATGTCTATCCACTCTGCCTGCTATGCCTGTTGCATTGTTGTTGTTGTTGCTGCTGCTGTTATATGACGAAACATTACAAGCGACAACAAAAATAGGCTAAAATTAAAGTAGCTAAATTAATGGCATAGTTGCTGTTCTGCTGTTTTGTGCCCCTGTCTGTCCCTCTGCCTGGGGAAAAAAAAAAAAAGGTGGAATGACTTTTGCGTGGCATTTTATATTCATGATGCACGATTTCGATATAGAGACAACAACTCTCTGCGCAACTCTCTACAGACTTTAGCTGCTGTTTCGCTCACTAATTGTCATTGGAGTCACAGGCAGGCAGACAGACAGACAGACAGACAGTGGAGCAAGCAGACTGGAAGACAGTTGGATAGACATTTTGACTAGTTGGCTGCTTCGCTTAATATGTGTACAGAGATCGCTGGCATTTTGCTTTGATATGACGTCGCAGACACAGATTGATGCAGAAGCAAACAGTTGAACTGCGGCCAGGGCGGGTTGGGGCATGTCAAATTTGATCGGCAGCCAAACAAAGCCAAAAGTCGCGGCAGCCTTAACAAAAAAACAGTCAATTTCATTTCCATACTCAAGTCACAATTTTATGATCAGACTTAAGTAGTTTTTTAAT